AGGCTGAGGCAGGAGAATTGCCTGAACCCAGGAGGCGGAGGTTGCCGTGAGCCAAGATCGTGCCATTGCACTCTAGCCTGGGTAACAAGAGCGAAACTCCGTCTCAAAAAAAAAAAAAAAAAAAAAAAAAAAAAAAGTATATTTTGAAAAATACCACAAACAACATAATTTTTCCTTCATCTTAAACTCTTTTGTAAAAAATTAATTTAAAAAAACAATTGAAAAATCTACATGGACCACATGGCAGTTTTATTTAGAGAGAAATAAATAGACAGACATGGTGGTGGACTCTTGTAATCCCAGTTAATTAGGAGGCTGAGGCACAAGAGTCGCTTGAACCTGTGAGGTGGAGATTGCAGTGAGCTGAGATCATCACACCACGGCATGCACTCCAGCCCGGACAGTAGAGCCAAACTCTGTCTCAAAAAAAGGTTTACATAGATTTACCATATGACCCAACAATCACAGTTCTAGATTTTATTTAGAGATAAATACAATTTCTTAGAAATTAGGATTTATTATATAACAGGATTTTCCTTTTCTTTGCTCTGAAATACCCATTGAGCTGATCTAAAACCCATTAACTAAAAATTTATTTCAGCTTCATATCAACTAATAAAGTATATATATATATATATATATATACTTTTATACTAGTATAAAAAACATAAAAAGGATATATATAATAAGAGCATTAAATGTATATATATATATATATACTTTATTAGAAAATGTAAGCAGACTCCTGCCAGCGTTCCCTGAAAATTTCAGTGTTTGCCCACATTTGTCAGAAACTCAAGTATGCAAAGTTTTTTCAAAGTAAAAATTATAAAATTTCAACCTCATGATAATTGGTGGCATATATTGAAGTTACACAAGGAACACAATACCCACTTTATCCCCCGAGTCTTCCTCGGGCATGGAGCACATGAAGACCTCTGAGGCATTTACCCAGCACATTTCGATCCTGGTTTATCGTGGCTTTTGTAAAGTGAAGATGCAGAGTTCTACTATGCTTATAAATCAGCTAGATGATTTTTAGTGTAAATCAAAATTTTTTTTATTAGCTTTGACTGTAACTGCTTTGAACTAGAAAATATTTTCAATCCTGAAAAAATTAGCTCTTTTCTTCTGAATGTTGAAAGTCAGTCTTTTAATTAGTAAAATGTGCATCTAAATATCTTGTTTATTTCTGCAATCATTTTAAATATTTTTCTATTTAATATTTTAAATAGAAAAATATTTTAAGAAGTTTGAGTAAAGAAATGTGTAATTCTTCATATTCTCATTGATCATATTTTAAGTTCTATACATGTGTAAGTATTCAGATATTTATAGTAAAATTACCTTAAATTTTCATTAAGGAAAGTAATTCTATGGCAAAGATTGTGTTATCAGGAAAAGATCTTTGGGGAGTGTATCATTATGGGATATTGAATAATGTGTTTTATTATGCTTTTTTTTTTTTTTTTTTTTTTAGACGGAGTTCCGCTCTTGTTACCCAGGCTGGAGTGCAATGGCGCGATCTCAGCTCACGGCAACCTCCGCCTCCTGGGTTCAGGCAATTCTCCTGCCTCAGCCTCCTGAGTAGCTGGGATTACAGGCACGCGCCACCATGTGCAGCTAATCTTTTGTATTTTTGAGTAGAGACGGGGTTTCACCATGTTGACCAGGATGGTTTCGATCTCTTGACCTCGTGATCCACCCACCTTGGCCTCCCAAAGTGCTGGGATTACAGGCTTGAGCCACCGCGCCAGGCCCTATTATGCTTTCTTGCTTAATTAAGTCCTTATGATGCAGCAACTAAAATGTACACAATCTAACTTCTTTAACCATTTACGTGCTTATCCTGTGTCCAGGATAAGTAAGTGAATTGTCTCAATATCTTCCGCCTGACACGTCCCCATTACTGGAGAGAACCAACAACAGAAAGCCCAGTGTCCACAGTCTAATAAGAAGATCCATATTTGTTCATAACTTCATTCAGCTCTTGTGTTTGAATCTGTATTGAAGAGTAAGAGAGAGGGAGAGAGAGAAATCTGAAAGAGGAAAGATTTCTTATTTTTAGATGCCTAGTACCAATAATTGCTCTGGAATTAAATTACAGAGAATGAATCATAATATAAGCCACCACAATGGCTCTCTAAGGGCTCTATTCACTAATAACATATGCTTATTTGTGTACATTTTCAAGTGGCTTGATCAAAAGGACCTCACGATCCACTACTTCTGAGGAAATTATAGGTCAGTAATAGCCTCACCTAAGAGTTTGCTTCCCATTTAATGGTTATTGCAGCTGTATTTGAGACATCACAAAAGGAGAGAAAGAATTAGTGAAGAGAGAAAATAGAATGAGGGATGGCAATGTGGAGTAAATTGCTTTCCACTGTACATAAAATGGAGGAAGAGAAGGGACTGATTTAATCAATTCTTGAATTCACTCATGATAATACACAAGCATTCAAGTTTAATGTATACTTGCTATATAAAAACAAAAACAGATGCAACAAAAAAGCATTCATGTGAAAGCAACAGAAATATGTGTTTGGTCTATGAAAATCATATAAGAAAGCATCAGAATCAGAGTATCTTTTCAGAATCTCATCTGATGGATACCTGAATCCATACAGCAAGCACACTTTTCTGTTTAGTTACTAGGAATGGCTTTCAAGATCGATGAGCCTTGTTACTGAGTGGACAGTCCTAAACCCAAAAGCACAAACAGTATTTTACTCTGCCAAAATTCAAAGCAATGTATCCGTGTGAATCATTCTGAACTGCAGGCAGGAACATTGAGAGCATTTCTGTCCTCTGAATACCAAAAGGTGACACTCACAGAAAGCAGAATTAAAGAGGAAGGCATTACTGATCACATAGCAGGTTGGGTCCATTAAGGGTGGGCAATACTTGGAAGTGAGTGCTTTTCAAGTCAAAACAAGGAAATGGGGGAAACAGGCAAAATGGAATAAATTATCAGAGAAGTGGCACACATAGAAAAACAAAAGTGTCAGACAAATGTCTCAAAAATGTGGTGCTGATTGAGGAGTCTGCCAATGGTGAGAGATGGAGTTAACAATTATGTTGGAAACAGGTTATGTACAAAATTGCTTGTAATGATCATTAGTGTTCCAGGTATTTATTATCATTTCATTCTAATGCTTAAAACTGTTCAATGGTTCCCCCTGACTCATTTGGTTAATGAATATGTTTTGAGCGAATATTATGGCCAGGTATAGTACTTGGTGCAGTTGTGAGCAAAACAGAAAGAACAGAATGCTCTGGTAAAATGTAAGGAAAAGCTTCTAGTGAGGGTTTGAGAGGTCTATTAGTTTCCTATTGATGCATCAAAATTATATATTTAGCAGCATAAATAAACAATAAATTTACTTCTCATGTCTTTCAGGAGTTTAGACACATAACTGGGTTTTTTGCTCAGGGTATGGTGAGACAGAAATCAAGATGTTGGCAGGGGTTGCAGTCTCATTTGGAGTTCAGAGTCTGGTGTGGTTAGGCTTTGTGTCCCCACCCAAATCTCATCTTGAATTATAATCCCCATAATCCCCACGTACCAAGGGAGAGACCAGGTGGAGGTAAACAAATCATGAGGGTGGTATTTTCCCATGTCGTTCTCCTGATAGTGAGTGAGTTCTCAGGAGATCTGATGGTTCTGTAAGGGGCTCTTTCTCCTTTGCTTGCCACTTCTCCTTCCTGCTGCCTTATGAAGAAGGTGCCTTGCTACCCCTTCGCCTTCTGCCATGATTATAAGTTTTCTGAGGCCTCACCAGCCATGCTGAATTGTGAATCAGTTAAATCTCTTTCTTTCATAAATTACCCAGTGTTGGGGAGTTCTTTATAGCAGCAGGAAAATGGGTTAATATGGGGCCCTTTTACAAGCTTAATCAAAATTGCTGACAGAATTCAGTTCCTAGTGGTTATATTACTGAGGTTTCCCATGACCTACTGTAAAGACAGCTCATAGTGTAACTGTTTGCTTTCTTCTAGGCCAGCAGCGAGAGTTCTCTGATACTTCACCTTCTTTTAAGTGTTAATCTGGCTAGATCAGGCCTACCCTGGATAATATCCCTTTGAATTAACAGAAAAACAGCTTATCAGTAACCTAATCTTAGAGAGATATTCCATAATATTAGTAGGACTTGCCCACACTCAAGGAATAGAGATTATATAAAGTGTGGGTTTTTGTAGACTATCTTTGGATTTAGTATGTCACTCTAAAATTTACCTGAGGAAGTGATATACTACCTGAGACCTAAAAGATGGGTTGAAATTATGTAGGCAAAGAATGGGAGTAGGTTTACTGAAGCTTGGGGAACCAGTATGTGTACATCTTGAGGTAGAGCACAGAAAAACTAAGAAACTTGTAGAATCTTAGCTTAGTTTAGGGGAAGAAATATATATGATGGAAAAGTTTACAAGACCATATGTGCTCTAGCTCCAGTAATGCAACACCTGCTTCAGTTATCGCAACTTTCAGGTTTGAACTCTATACTTGAGCTACACTAAATTTCATTCTCTTCTTTCATGTAGTCATATCAAATTTCCTGTAGTTCTTCAAAGCCCCATGCTCTATCTTCCCCCAGAGTTCCAGCATGACTGTTTAGCAGAAGATAAACTGAAATAACAGGGAGGAACAGGAATTATCCTGATGAAATTATCGACACCAAACACAGGTTAAGTGCCCTTGTTTTGTACTTTGTTGGCAGACTATACTGGCACGTACCATCCCCCACTACACTGCATTGAAATAGTCCATTTTTCTATTTTGCGTTGCCTTAAAAAATATAAGATCTTATTCATTATTTGCTATGGTCTGAGTGCCCTTCAGAATTCCGGTGTTGAAGCTTAATCTCCATTACAGTGGTTTTAAGAGGTGGTGCCTTTTAGGAGGTAATTTTCTCATGAGGGCTCTGCCGTCATGAATAGATTAGTGCTTTACCAAGGGCTGGAATGAACTAGGCTCTTTTTGCTCTTCTGCTTTTTAGCTACATGAGGACACAGCATTTGAGGCACCATCTTAAAAGCAGAGAGATGGGGCCCTCGCCAGTCACAAACCTGCTGGTGCCTTGATCTGGGACTTCTCAGGCTCCAGAACTGTAAGAAACAAATTCCTATTGTTTATAAATTAATTAGTCTATGGTATTTTTTTAATATCAGTACAGATGGACCAAGACATTATTATATCCATATCAGTTAAAGTTATCAACTAGCCTAACTTGAAGTAATAGATGTTGAATGAGGATTATGATGACAATGAGGATAAGAACAAGGATAACAGAAATTAGTACAGTATTAAGAATAAACTTTTAGAAAAGACCAAATTACTTAGCCCCAAACCATGATAACATTTTTTACTCACTGATAAACTGCAGTCAATTTCAGCAATAATTGAGTCAAAGCAAAGCTCAGTCAGAATACCCAGTAGCCATCAAAAGCTGTTGATTTTATGTATCTAATGCTGTTTAAGAGCTGAAAGGTTTGCTACATTTTGTACCTATTTAAATAAGCAGATTTTTTTTTCATTGCTTGCACTTAACAAATATTGTGCATCAGTCTTTTATTAAAGCGCTAGAAGGTTAGAATACTGCTAAAGAGACATGCTTACCTTGAGGCCGGGCATATACACAAGGAAGAAAATATCACTGACTCACTTTCCAGCTCAGTAAGCTTCACTTTTGCCTCCAAAGTCAATACATAGAAGTCAATTTTTTATTCTTGGTAATGGTTTGACAACATTACACTGATTAAGTTAATAAAAGAATACTTTAAAAAGTCTTCAGATAGAGATTGCTCCCCTAGGAGCAATTATTATTCTTTTTCTCCCCAAAAGCTCTCAGAGTTAAAATAATTCTCAGTCAAAATATTTTGTGATTAGGTTTGGAGACTATAATAGAGGAGGCAACACAGAACCAATATCTGTCAGCCAGTGAGCACTTGTTCTGTAACCATGGCTAATGCAGTATATTCAAAGACAAGTATTAATGACAGTATGAAATAAAACATCAATAGTAATTATTTTATACTGAATAGAGTTGGATGTTGTTTTCCTAAACATTTCATCATCAAGAGTCATATGACCTCAGAAGTATACTTTTGTCACGTAACACTGACATTTCCATATAATAGATGAACTACTGGACATTGTAAAATATTGTATATATTTTTAATTGCCTTAGTTTACTAGGGCAGCCATAATGGAATATAACAAACTGGATGTCTTTCAACAACAGAAATTCATTCTTTCACTCTCTGGAGGCTACCAGTATAAAATTAAGGTGTTGGTAGGGTTATGCGCCCTCTGAAGGCTCTAGGGAAGAACACTTTGTGTCTTTCTAACTTCTCATGGTTCCAGGTAGTCCTTGACATTCATTGGCTTATACCTGCATCATTCCAATCTTTACCTCTATTGTCACGTGGCTTTCTTCCCCTATGTGTGTCTTCACATGGCCTTCTATAAGGATACCAGTCCTTGGATTTAGCCCCCCCACCCAATCCACTATGACTTCATCTTATATAACAACATCGGCAAATACCCTACTTCCAAAGGAAGATTGCATTCTGATGTTTCAGGCAGACATAAATTTTAGGGGAACACTCTTCAGCCCCACACCTTTCTGTGGAAACTTTCATTCTTTCTTCATAGGGACAGGGTAAATTTTAAATTTAATATTTGCCCAATATTTCAGTATTTCATTATTCTATTCTTAAGTGGTATCCATTTCAATTTTATTTTCTTAATGTTCATATTTAACTTGTATATATTTAGTATTTAATATTTATAGAAAGAGTTTATTGTGGTTTTACACTAGCTATATGAATACAACTGTATAAAATGTTTAATAGTAACTTTACCTTTTCTTTATCAAAGTATTCTTCTATTCAGTTTAAATTCTTAATTTATAATTTAGATTCAGAATTTCAAAATAATATTAAATTATAACAGTGATGGGCCTCCATAGCTAATCGGTGTCTCCTTTTACACAAACACACACACACACACACACACACACACACACACATGCACACACCATACATAACTTTGTGGCTTATTGAATCCCTTTCCAAAAATTACTAAGCTGACAATAAGATTATAATTTTATTTTTCTCAGTTGATCCTGCTAGAACTCTAACTGTAAGCTGCTTCATGGCAGGGTCATAATACGTGTTTTATTTACAAATATTTCTAGTGCCTAGAATAGTGCCTTCATGGAGAAAGCACACAACACAACAAACGTTTGCAGTACATTAAGAACATAGGTCACAGTTTAACAGATTAATAGTTTTCTTGATATTAAATAATTCTATATCAGTCTGTTATATAATGGTAAAGTATTCTTTAAGTATGTTACCGATTTTTACTTATTTAGAATTTTCCCATCTGATTCTTCTTTTCTGCTTTTTTTCCTGAATATAGAAATTCTAACCATTCCTCAGAAGCAGAATGTTAGTAAGAATTTTTGTTTGTTTGTTTAAGTTATGTGGTACATGTGCAGAACATGCAGGTTAGTTACCTAGGTATACATGTACCATGGTAGTTTGCTGCATCCATCCCTTGGTCATCTACATTAGGTATTTCTCCTAATGCTATCCCTCCCCAATCCCCTGACCCCTACTCTGCTATCCCTCCCCTAGCCTCCCACCCTGCGACAGGCTTCCATGTGTAATATTCCCCTCCCTGTGTCCATGTGTTATTGTTCAACACCCACTTATGAATGAGAACACTTCTTGTGTCTGCCGTGTCAAGTTTTGATAAATATTTTTAATGCTTCTTAGATTTTTCTGTTTTTGTTGATTCTCTTTTCTATAGAAATTTAAAATGGATACACTCTGTTTCTAATTTGATTGGTAACAAACTTGCAATTCTCAGAAATAGACACTAGGCTTTCTTTCAAACTAAAAATCATTGGTGCTTATAGGGTATACAGAGAAGTAGAAATGGGGAATAACATGTTAGAGGGGAGAGAGACATAACCAGCTCTAGCCAACTCGGAAAATATTATTTAAGCAGATTCCATTCCTTTTCAGATCAGTGTTCTTTTTTCACCAAGCCAGGCACACGTGGAACAAGTGGCTCAAAGTTTCTCTTCCCTTCTTCCTTCCTAGCCATGCTGCTCTGGCTCTTTTGAGAAACTTGTGAACTGTTAGAAGGGAGCATCATTTATCTCAAGATCCTGTATTGTTGTTGAATCTTCAATCTCCATGTTGAGATGGATAGCATATTGAGTACCCCATATGTATTTCAGTGGGAAGATGGAAAGTGTTAAATGATTGTGAAGCAGACTTTTATAATAAATTTTGATATTTTATATTAGAATGATACCATAGGTAACATCTGTGTTATTAAGTATGCTTTTATAAATTAGGGTATCAATTTTGTTTAATTAGGAGAGAAATTATAGTTATATTTTATTTTATATATAATAAATGTAAAATATAGTTTATTTTATATATAAAACAGTCCCTCAAATCTGTTTTATTTTAGTTATTTTAGAAATAAAGTATAAACCTGAAGAATTCTCATACAATTTTACATGAATTTACTATATAGAGATAAAAATTTTTAAAAATTGTTGAAATAAATGTATTCCATCAACAATTTCCTTTAGAGACCAATTTTCTGTCATTCCATGGAGTATTATAAGATGACAAGGCTGACAATTGTGCTGGCCTGACATTTTATAATAATAGGAAATTAATATTCAGAATAATGTATATTCATTAAATGGCTATGTCGCTTGCAAATGATAGCAATGATATGGGACTAAAGGGGCTAATTTATAGTTTATTATAAAACAGCTTTCACTTCTCCAGGCTGGAAATCTGAAGCTTTTGAATAGCATTGTTTGCTATTCAGCTTTATGTTTGGCATCCTCTTAATGAGCTTACATATCTAGCAGCGACCAAAAAAATTTGGTTAACTCTGCTTTTTTGAGGCATATCTGAAAAATAGGAATTAGTTATTTGTTAAATATATATTTTTAAAAGCCTTGTTTCATTCTCCAGGGAACATTAACGAGATCAGCATTGTCAAATCTCAACAAATCATTATTAGATTGGATTTAATTAATCTCTTATATATTACATAGTGGTTAGTCAACATATACATATAGAGATGTTAAAAAAATAATTGAAATTTTAGTAACATCAGACTCCCACTTAGCTATTTCTCAACAAGATAATATTTCTCAACAAATATTACAGATGGGATTCATAATTACTTTCAAGGGGATACAGAATCATCTTAATGGCTACTAAAATGTTGTGCTTTTACAACTCATACTAATGCCTGCAAATGTCACTTGCAATCTCTTCTGGCCATATTTGGCAAACTGGAGTAATTTTAATACCAATCATTGCAAGTTTGAAAATGCCATTACTGCATGGCATGCCTATTATTTTACTTCACTTATGTTTTAAAGACATAACAGTTAGATTTATTCCACCAATGCTAATAAATTTTTAATGCCATTTAAACTTAATTATTTGGCTACAGGTATTTGGTTTAGATATTTTTACATTGATAATTTGAAAATTGGTTGTAATTTTGTAAAGTGGTATCTTCCTCCATAAAAAAATATGGAAATTCCATTATTCCAATTATTATTATTCATTATTTTTGAGAGTACCCAGCTAAATTTGGGTCAGTACCAGAGAAATTAACGACCCTAAAAGGAAATGCCATAAGAGGAAATGAAGGTGATATTGTTTAGATATTTGTGCCTTCCAAATCTCAAGTTAGAAATGTAACTCCCAATATTGGAGATAGGCCTTATGGGAGGTGTTTGGTTTATGGTGGTGAATCCCACAGGAATGGCTTTGTGCCTTCCCTACAGCAAAGAGTTCTTACCATATTAGTTCACACAAGTGGTGGTTGTTATAAAGACCCTTGCACTGGCCAGGTGCATTGGCTCTTGCCTGCAATCCCAGCCCTTTGGGAGGCCGAGACAGGTGGATCACGATGTCAGGAGCTAGAGACCTGCCTGACCAATATGGTGAAACACCATGTCTAGTAAAAATACAAAAATTAGCCAGGAGTGGCAGTGTGGGCCTGTAGTGCCACGTACTCAGGAGGCTAAGGCGGAAGAATCACTTGAAG